ATGTTATATTATATGTCTCTCACAAAATTTAGATCTTCAGTCCGTAGACATGTTGAGAATGTATCAGTTTAGCAATTAGTTCTTCTGTTATTTCTCATTCTAGTTTTGTTATTGCGAGTTGTAATAAGTACTACTCGTTGTTAGATAATAATACATCCCCATATTATATCATATTGTTTTATATAACATATCATTTCAAGTGCTTGTATATTCATGTATATTTCTTGTAAGTCATCCTTGTAATGACGCATCCAAGCCTGTTAGGGTGAAATAAATAAATAAATAAATAATATAATTTGTAATCTCTGAAATAACAAATGAAATCAAAAACTAAATCAAAGTAAGTTTTTGGCTTTCTACTACTCCATCTTGATACCAAAAATGTGGGAATCTTCCAAAGGAAGAAAGGAGGTAATCAAATGGAAAATAAGTAACTCTATAAAAAATTCTTTCGAAACAAATACTGAAGCATACAGAAGCTACTTTTCTCTACTCAGTTTGTATTCCAAACATTCGTTATGGAATAAAATCAGATATCATTCACAGGAGGTCTACTTTAAATGAATGGTAACAAATTGCACGTACATGTCATCCTCACTGGTAGACATAGATGTTTTGCCGTAAGACACTTGCCTTAAGGCTTTTCAGTACCAAATTGGATAATATTATGGAAAATATCAATTTGGTACTGAAAAGCCTTAAGGCAAGTGTCTCACGGCGAAACATCTATGTCTACCAGTGAGGATAACAGTGTTCCATGTGACTGCAATTCGTTACCATTCATTTAAAGTAGCACTCCTGTGAATGATATCTGATTTCATTCCTTAACAAATGTTTGGAATACAAACTGAGTAGAGAAAAGTATCTTCTGTATAATTCAGTGTTCATATAAAAGTATTTGTTTCGAAAGTTTTTTTTCTTTCGTGTAATTCAGTGTTTATATGAAAGTAGCTGTTTTAGGAGGGCTTTCTTCCAGTTCGTGTCTGAAAGTTACTTCTTTGTATGATCTACACATCCATGTATAGAGTTACTTATTTTCAAATTGAAATCTTCCTTCCTTTCTTCTTTGGAAGAACCCCTTCAATTCAAATCAAAATAATTTTTCAAGTATTTGAGTTATCACCCCAAATATCTCTTGAGCGGTGTGACATATCGTAATTTAGTGAATTACAAAAACATTTGAACACAGAATTTTTTTTAGAAAATGTAGTCAACTCGGAAGAGTTGAAAGAGGCGGGATCCGAAAAAAGTAACATCTCACTAAAAGTTTATTATTCTTTATAGCCATTTCAAGAACATTGATAACAAAATGATAAGTGTCAAATTTGAACTCAGTAGCTTCAGACTTTTACAAGGCCAATACTAAATTAAGGAAATTATTAAAAGTTCAATGCCCTATTGATCATAAACGAAGTTTTTTGAAGATATGGTTTTATACGAGTTTTCCTTTTGAACCCATCCATAGAATCGCCTACTCAAATATTTTCATTACATTTGAAAATACACATCCTGTATAGGGTACTTTCTTGAAAGTGATCGCTGGATTGAAAATTACTTTTAATGATCTGGCTTTCATCTCTACTCTCATGAATTTTTTGTATCATAAATGTTTTTACTATTAAACTCATAAAAATACTCTTTCATACTCGTACATTCGATTTGTGATAATATTCGAACTCCATGTTCAAATAAAGGCTGATTCAATAAATTGGATAATTCTCAGTAAACTAGGATACTTTATACTACTGTCCAAAAGAGGGCGTAACACTATTAACTCGAACGTGAAACACGTAGTTTATTATTATGAGGAAATATGGAATTTGAGATTATTGAAAATAAATTTTCTGTAGTCGTTAGCCGATTCATGAACGTAATCACTTACTACCAAAAAAAAAAGGAAAAATTGTAACTGAGCTTTCCTGAAAACAGATTTTTTTCGTTTCATCGTCAATATTATTATTTGAAGTTACTTCTCTTCAAACAACGTGAATACTTTATTCACTAGTACCTTCACCAGAATTTACTTCCCAACTAGTATAGTTACAATTCCTGCACGTCGTCTATAGTTCATTCGGTTGGAGCCCAGCTCCCTCAACCTTTTGGCTGATCTTTGTCAGATCTTCATATTAGTTGGACGCATCTACTGTAATTTTTCAATTCGATCAAATGGTCTGTGTATGCATATCCGTTAACTTCTTGTTGCTTAGACAATTTTGTATAAAATAGTATTGGAGTTTTTTTCAATTCAAAACTGCCATAGATATAGATTACGAACTTGTGATTATTTCTAAGAGAATCATAATAGCAAATGAGTAGGTATAGGTATGCAATTTCAAATTATTTTCTTTCTTGGGGGACTTTTGTTGGTAAATTATTTTTTTTTAATATCAGAAAAAACAGTCTGGCAAGATGTATCATTTCAAATAACTCAAATAAAACGTTTTCATTCACAATTTTTTCTGGAGTACTAATATGAATCGATTAGCTAAAAAACCGACTTGTTCGTTTTCCTTCTCAGTATGTTATTGTTGGTTTTGGGAAACATATTGTCAGTTCAAAAATAAAAAGCTTGTGTCGAATGTGACAGCTTGAAAATTTGCGTTTTTATTTATTTCATATTTGGTGTAAATATAAAGAACTCAAAGCTTTTGTGAAATAAAATGGCGGTTTCAGTCTCTCGATTTCTTTCATGATTGGAATGTGTTATTATGCAGATTATGAATTTGAATTGAATTTTTATGAAGCAAAAACGGGGGCTGAAACATTTAGCTCCCTCTCCCTTGAAATCGATATACTTATACCAGTTGGTTTTTGAGGTAGCATAAGAATTCGGACTCATTTCATAATCAAACAGAAATTTGAGCCTTTAGATTTTTTTAATGACTGGTATTTGTGGAAAATATTTAGATATCTGTTTTTATTTCTAAAGAATAGAAATGGTCAATGCATTAGAGCATTTCACCTAAATTTTTAAATATCGTTAATCTGACACGTTTGCAATGAGGAAAATAATAGTACCTAATCGCTCCACAGAAAACTACTTGTTTTGGGGTAAAAGTAACCAAGTTCAATTCAATGCCACAAAAACCCAGGCATCGGTTTTCTCCAAAAAGATAAATGTCTCCGAACCTGATAATAATGTCAGGTCAGGCAATTCAGCTTTCTGTTTCGATACGTTTGTCGGGGGTTAAAATGGACACCATTATGACTTGGCACAATCATGTCGCTGAAATTGCAAAGGTTGCTTCTCAAAAACTTGAAACACTGTTTCGAACTAGAAAACTGTACAAACCTCAACAACTACTGATGCTTCATAAAGCTCAGATGAGGCCTTTTTTGGGTTCACATATTTGGAGATCAGCCTCTAAGCATACCCTGAAGCTGCTGGATTTCATCCAGAAAATAGGTATTTGTCTCTCTTTTATAGATAGATACTGCCAAAGGAGGTGTTCAAGTTACTTGAGACATTTTATTCCACCAAGAGCAATAAATATCAGAAATACGCGACGAACTATGGCTGCTCATTGTTTCCAGGTTCAACTCAGTACACCTGGAACTTCACTGTTTGAGAACTCTCCCATTTCGAGAACTGCGTTTATGTGGAAGACTTCCCGAGAACCTTTCTCCAAATGAATTCAGCGATTCAAATCCAACGTAAATCGCTACTTTCTCCTTAAGGATTTTCCTGTAGTGTTTGTATTTCATTTAAAAATATATTAGGAGCATCTCGAATGATGAGAATTATTTTTCATTGATGATAAGAGACTCACCCAGGATTTTGTTTACATTTATTTGAATTAGACTAATGAGATTTTCATTGATTTTCTAAGTTTTCACTACAGATAGAAAATAAATATCATTTATGAATAAATTCTTAGACTTCGCTGAGGTCCACTCCACCAGATGTGTAGATAAGACTCTTTTTGTTTTTTATTTCTTCAATACAAAAAAATAGATGAAAAAAAAAATTAAAAAATACTTGCAAGTATTAGGTACATATTTTTGAAACGTGATTGTTATTCATATCTTCTGAAAACGTGAAATATATTGAAAACGTGCTGATAATGCATTGAACTTCTGAAGTATTTTCAACTGAAATCCTAGATAGTGACTTGTATTTTCTCAAGTAAACATTTTTATATCAATACTCTTTCATATTTTACATTGTCGAGTGTTTTTGCTAATTATATAATATATTTTCCTTTATAACTCTTCACTATATAAATTCTAAAGAAATAGTGATTAATGTAAATTCATTATTTCTCAAACGGTGTACTTCACTTAGCAGCAGGCAAAGAAGTACCCCATTGCTCGATACAACTCGTATACGTGTTCTAAAAAGTGATATTCTAATGAAGAAAAGATACTCAAAAAAATTAAAAAACTTGTCCTAATCAGTGACGTTCCACTTAACTGAAATTTCAGATTCTGAAATGGGATAATTATTCATCAGTAATCTCCAAAAATTATAATTCTAACGTGCACTGTGTACGTAATGTTCGCGAAAGGATGGCTCGACGAGGACAGTAGCCTGCAATATCTCCAGATCACGTTGGATTTTCGCTTGTAGATCCATTTGAAACTGAAATATACTGCAGTTGTGAAATCGAATGGATTTAATTTCCTTCGGTGTGAAGTTATTATATAAGTAAAATAAAATATATAATTTTCTCCATTCTGTTCAAATGCATCGATTGATTACATAAAAGTATCACAAAATTCTGAAAATCTCGGTGGTTCTGCAGCTTGATGGCCACCTCCTTTAGTATATCTCTGCCGATGTAACCTTGTATACATCTGCAAATAACTATTTCTCTAACGCACATTTCAAAAAAATAAATGATTTGTTTCGAATTGATTTGTATATGAATAAAAGCAGTAATTTACAGCCAAATAAATGTATATGAACTAATTTCAGATGTGAAAAAATTATATTACTTTTAGGCTTTGTCTAAATGTACTTTTAATTAACTTTTTTCTCTTTGACAAAAACATACCAGTATTAGAAAATATATTTTATTAAAAACTTCATGAAATAATGAATTCATGGGATAGAAACATATACATTTGGATAATTTGCGGTATTTACAACAATAATAGAAGAACATACATTTCTCGTGTAAGCTGATCTTGAGGAACTTAACCTAGATATAATTTAATAAAAAACAATCTTAAAAGTAAAAAAAAACAACAAAACATCAGTCTTCATTCATCCAGATTTGAAGGGTGGACAACGGTTCAAACGGTAACTTGTGTGGCAGTGGATGTTATTTTGTTTTAGGTGGATCATCATCTGAAAGCAACAAAGATAAAATTAGACAATTTCCATAATCAATAAAAAAGGTATAAGAGATTGTAACGACCGTGATCGGAGTTACCTTGCATCGAGCGAAAACTTAAAAAAAACATCCTTGTTTTATGGATTTGGATGCAAGGTCACCTAAACCCCAAGATGCAGTGATACATTCTATAGGCAGCTAATAGAAAATATCGGTCAAAAAAATTGCAAATTATATGGATGTATTCTTACACAGCCTTCAGCTTTAGAACGGTGGCCTTGGCAAAATGCAATACGGAAATACTTGTTTTACTAACGCGTCGTCTAGTCTCGCACAAGAATGAATGTCCCAAGAACACTACTATGTTAAACTATCAAGATCGTAAATAATACGGCTGACGTTTTATTTTCTCACCGATGTCCAAGACAAAATACACACTGGAACTGAAACAACATTAGCGTCTAGCCAACTTTTCGGCTATTTAAAAAAAAACAGAAACTGGACTAGCTCACCGTAGCAGAGGTGATAACGAAAGGTCACTACACTCAAAAGTATAGATCAACAAACTTCCCCAAATAAAAAAAACAAATGAAGCGTTTTGGCCACGTTATATAAAAGTTTAAACGCCGTCAAGGTTATTGCACCCACAAAAAAAGGTATGACTCTTTATTTGTAGGTTAAACCGAGTTATATTAGGTCGGTAGATTAAAGTGAGGAATAATTGCTTCTACTTGAAATTCCCACTCTCCCACAGTGATGTTCGCCGAGAGGTGTCAATGATCTCAGGTCAATCAGCTGGTGGGTATTATTTCGGTAACTATGTGATCTGCATTGTAAATTCTTCAGGAACAAAGACGAATGCATTGGCGATAAAATTAAAATTAATGCACGTAAGCTATAAAGATTTTGGGAATGAGGAAGTGTCTTAGTGAATCGCTTATTTCAGTAGGCGTTAGTGATAATAATCTCATAGTGAATTATAATGAAATTACTATTGAATCTCACTTAGAAATTGTATGTTTGGTTACCTAATACAATTTGAAATTTATCACGAGCAAATAATGCTTTGAATTTTCAAGTTTTTTGACTTTGATTCTTGCACTGATGAATTTAAATATTTTTTTTATATCTGCCGAGAAATTGAAAAAAAGTGTGAGCATTTCTTATTGAAAATTTCGAACTGACTTTTTGTAGGAATTAATCTCGAACTGATTTAATGTGCAGTGAGTAACACTTATAGAAATGTGGAGGACGGACAAAGTGGGCGAATATATTACGAAACTTCGGTCAATAACCGAACATGCGGAAGTCTTACCGGAGTCTTTTACGGCGGCAGCTTGAAGTTTCTTGACGCCCTCCATCGTCTTGGAAGGGCCACATTGCTCAACATTTCAGTAAAGTCCTGTAGGGTCCAACCCTTTTCCTTTTGGCATCACCATATTCAACTTTAACTTCATTTTCTACAATAAGTCTCGAAAAAACTTCACACACTACTCAGTACTGCCCGGTGGGATCTAGTTCTCTATTCATCTTGAAGTATTTGTCGAACTGTCACAATGATGTTAGTTTTTCAATCTCAATATAGCCCAGTGGGGTCCAGACCTTCGTACATGCTGCTAAGACTGAGATGAAATTGGCACTTCACACTGCGAACGAGCGACGGCTAGAGTGAGTTGTTCAGGATCGGAGGCCGTCTTAAATGTGGTAGGTCGGTGAGCCGAGGATTTCGGAGTGGGGGTGGCTGCTCGTCGGGACGCTAATCCAACCCTGACCCAGTCACATTGCCTTGCCACTGAACCCTTTGGCGAGCGTTAATTTGCTTGGACGGCTATCGCGTTTAGTGTGTAGGTAATCAGAGCGGATTTGAATGTGTACAGAGACGGGGATATATTTATTAATGTATAGGGTGTGTATAACTGAGGGGCTCGTGCATAAACTGAAAATGGCAATTTTTGTTTTCATTTTTCAATCGTTGGGACCAATTTCAAAACGATTATCAAGGGAGAGAGGCGTTCTATCAAAGGAATTGCTGCTCGTTTTAAACACTGTGTGATATCTACATAGTAAATGTTTATTTTTTGGTGTGACCGTTGAGATTCATTTCAGTTGCAAAACTTGTTCGTGATACTTCGTAAACGTCACTAGAGGAAATTAAGAAATGTTTTCATGAGGTACTTATTTTTTATTATATTTTCAATAACTTTATCTGAAGTGGCATAGTTTTCAGAAGATTCGCAGTCATGAAACTATTGCGTGGTGATTTACAATGTATGGACCACTTAATAGTATTCTACTGATGTATTTGAATCTTTGAGTACTGATAAACCTTTTGCTATTCCGCAATATACGGCAAGGAAGACTAATTGTATTCCTATTTATATGGAATTCCTTACTGAAAATAAACTGAATAATATGGGATTTTAATGAAATGAAATTACTATAATGATTGAATGGGGTGGGAAACTATGATGTTTTATCACCTATCTGATTTTTTGAAACATTTTGAAAATCAAAATTATCTATAAAAAAAATTTTTGGAAAAGAAATGTTTTGACTTTCTAATTGTCCATCTTTATATGAAAAATGTAAAAAAATTGACAAATATAGGAAGAAAGCAATTATTTATGGGTAGATAAAACAAAGAAGTAACTTTCAAATATAAATTGGAAGAAAAAACCCTCTCGAAACAACTACTATATAAAAATTGAATTACAGGAAATAAAAAGTACTTTCGAAACATTGAATTTAACATATTGGTGCTGAAGAGGCAATGGGGCAAGTGTCTTATTTCGCCTTTGAGAATGACAGTGTTCCATGTTCGTCTTTCATATACTAGAACATGTAGAAATCCTGTGAGTGATATCTAATTCAATTCCATAACAAATGTTTAGAGTACAATCTGAATAGAAAAAAGTATTTTCGTATAATTCAATGATTATTTTGAGAGGGATTTTTCTTCTGGTTTGTTCCTGATCTTCTTTGCATGATCTACAAATCTATGTAAAAAGTTTATATTGGAATTAATTGCTTTCTTTTTTTCTTTGGAAGTTTCTTACATTTTTTGTATGAAATGTAGAGGTAAAAAGTTTATTACACATCTATATTTAGTACTAAAAATTATATGATGGTAAATAAAAATCTAGTTCAAATAGCTTTCTTTTCACCAGTGCATGCGCATGAAGAGTGTATAAAGCAAGAGATAGAACAAATTATCAATTGAAACATTCACATATCATGTATAAGTTTGAAATTTTTGAAAAGACTATTTTATAGGAAAAAAATCATTTCGAATGTTGATTTCTTCATTATTATACTTAAAAAATTTCGTTTTCTTTCAGTATGAATATAAAAACCGAAGTAAAAGTGTAACTGGATTTGTACAAAATTCTAAAAATTACTTCTATCATTAAATTGTTTTTTCAATCTTGTTAGTTGGCAGTCACATCCGTTGCTGTACTTTTGCCGATGATGCTTTACACATCTACAGGCAAACTATTTTTCCCATTTTTCTGAATACTAGAACATCTTAGAACTAATAATTTTTAAATATTTTCAACACTATTTAACAAAAAACAAAATGATATAGGTACTTCAATTCGTTACTTAGCCATTTTTCATTTAAAGCATAATTATATTACATAATAGCTAAATTTATGTGAAAAAATCAACTTTTGACTGAATGAATATTTAATTATTCATTTTTGCGAGTGTGAATATGCTTGGGCTTATATTTTGTTTTAGTTTGTTGAAAATCAGAGCGAATTTGAATGTGTGAAATGACGGGGATACTGTATAGGGTGTTTTCAACTAACGGGTTTGTGCATGATTTGTTTATGCACATGTATTATTGTTTGAATTGTTTTAAATTATTACTATAAATAAAATGAGAGACGAATATAACTCCAATGAAATGTCATCATTATTATGTTTGTCCGGAGTGAGGGAGTGTAATTCACGAATGACAAAATTCAGTGTGAATATCAACGAACTAATGAAATAGAATGAAAATCGAATATTAGCAAGCAAAAATCAATATGATAAATAAATGTTTCCCTTCAGTAGTACATGCACATAAACACTGAAACACATATCAATAATATATACACATTTCATGCAATTTTATAATTATCGGTGATTTAGTTTAGACATGAAAATATTTTTTTGTCGACAACATGGTGTGGAATTTATGAAATATTATTTTGTTTGTAATAATATATGAAAAATAAATGAAGAGAATGTCTTGGATAAATTGTTTTTCGGCAACACTTTGTTCGACGCGCGTTCCCTCAACCAAGTTGGTGAAATATTTAACGAAAATCATGGTTTTGTGGAGAAAATAGACCTTTTCTGGGTTTTTCATCACCCACAATCTAGAAAAATATTTCACAAAGAAAATTGTTCCATTTATCAGTTACTTTTCGTATTCGAAAATTTTGTGTATCGAAAATGTAACGAATCTCACAGTTTTTCGTTGGTTCGTTTTAATTTCAGAACACCTCTGCTGGATATCAAAGAAGTTTTGAAATGTCAATGTTGTTGATTCACTTCCGAAACATCCAATTTCCTACAGGGTCCTTTTTGATATCGGTCTATTGCAATTTTGTCACTATCCATTCTGTCTTCAAGACGGGTATACGAATACGATCCAACGAATATAATGAGATCTATACTCTCACAAACAAAATCCAACAATACAGAAGAAAGAACAGAAAATCGCATTTATGAGATACCTTGTTCTTGTGAATCTCAAAACTATTAAAGGTGCGTGAGAATGAACTTCGAAATTACATCAGAAATTAGAAAATCCATGATCAAAATTGTCAGATCAGAACATATTTTGAAATCAGACAGTGAACTTCTAGTTGAATGAAACAAAACACATTTTTTCCAATTCTGAAGACGGAGATTTTAGCCTGTAAAATCCTTTTTTTTATAGGTAAAAAATTGAATACAAGTAACTGATAAATAGAATATTTTCCTTTGTGAAAAATGTTTTGAATTTACTCTCACTTGTCGAAAAAAACTGAAAAACTTTGTCTTGCTACACCTGTATAGATTACTAATGAACATATTCAATGTGCATGGTCAATTCAACAAAAGTATTAGTGAAACCCGTTGAAAATTCAATGAGAAGCATCCTGATTTACCAACAGTCAGTGAGTACAAACTCAGAAAATTACCGAGTAATTTCAACAAATTTGGTTGCAGACACGCTAAGAAAGTATTACCCAGACTTATAACTTGGGATAAAGATAACGAGATACATGTTTAGGCTTATTTCCACAGCAATGCAAACTCGTCAATTCCATCAGTGGCAGCGTATTCCCATTCCGCAGGATATTGAGATAATATACATATTCCGTACATTTCAACGACAGGTCCAGTTTGTGGAATTATATATTTCTAAATGATATTAGTCCGGGAACTTTTGAAAAAATGTTTTAACAAACGCAAAGTTCACTTTTAGACTTCAAGTAGTTCATTCCTCACGAACGAACATCATCAGGAGGCTGAACTTGTGCGAGCTAAGGATTAACGTGGTCTTACTTTTCAACCTGCGATTCCTAGATACAGTATTCGAACAAGATATCAATATCGAGAAAGAGATGTAATCGGCCAATATGCACACGTTTCCACGTCGTGTCGCCTTTGAGGTAGTGTACTTAAGGTGGTTTACCCTGTAGGCCTATTCCACGGTTCTGTTATAATTCTGTTTAATTTTGAACTAATAAATATTAAAAGACATTGGAAAGGGTTGAAAATGATAAAAGCGGTGTAGATAAAAAAAAGGGAAATTCATTCATCTGATTCATAATTCTGTTATACTTCTGCTTCCTCTTCTTCTTGTTTTCTTTCTCGTTTCTGTTCTTCCTGAGTGAAAGTGAATTGTCTCAATAGTGATACATCTCATGTCTTCTCGTTAGTATCAAATGAATCCTCAACTGTTGGTGATTCAGCATTGGAGCACGACCGGCCTTGACAATTTGTACATGCTAGAAATCAAAAGAACTACGACCCTCTTTACAGCTGCAGGAAATAATGTTTAGATAACTAAGCCACACTTGAACTTGGTAATATACCCGTAAAAGATGTTGACGAGCAGCCGCTGAGATTGGAGGATGATAAGCTAATTGCACTTGTTTTTTCTTTCAAGTATTTTTAACGAAAAATGCATATTGAAACTTATCTAAGTACGATTTTTTAGGAGCTCCATATATAGAGAGAAGAAAGCGAATTCCTTTTGTGATGTCCTTGTGGAGTTGAATTACTCTTTTTTAAAGTTCAGCACATTGTACTGAATCTTGTTTTTCAAATATTTTAAAAACTGTTGTTTTACCCCTCCTGAAAAATATAGATGTCGTATCACAGTCAGTTATTGCGTGTAAGAATAGTACATGATTGTGACACTTTGCAAAAGTTGATGAACCTTTCATTGAATATATTTCCGATAGATATTGAGCTTTTTCAGGTTGATAAAAAAGTGTTTTTTTGTGATTGGAGTTCGAGCAGTGAGTAATACGAGTAAGTCTACATCTACAAAACTATAGTTGTATTTGTTAAATTAAATTGCTGTATTGCTGTTTCAATTATCATTACATCAGCATCATTTTCAACTTTTTATACTATTATATTTTCAACAGCAAACTTTTCTTTCAACATTGAAATGAACCGAGATTTGTTGT